CCTGCCTTGCAAGCGCAAGGACCCAAGTTCGATCCCCGGTACCAAAAAAAAAAAAAGATTTGGGGTAGGGCTGGGAATTTAGCTCAGTGGTTTCTCTGCCTGCCTCACAAGCACAAGGTCCTGAGTTCGATCCTCGGTACCAAAAAAAACCCTGGGAAAACACAAAACAACAGGAAAAAAAAAAAGGATTCATACAAAGATGATTGAGTGAAGGCAAGCAAGACTCAACCTAACTAATATTTTATCAAATCTGTCATGTTTGAAAGGTAAGAGCACCACTGAAGAAAGGAGGTGCCAAGTAGTAGTGCTTCAAAGCTTCAGACCACAATCAAAACACTGCATGCTTTCAAAGAGAAGTAGTAGGCAAACATCACTCGTTTGGGCATGTTCAAGGATGCCAACATCAATATTTAATCATCTGCTCACTCATCCAGGAAGAAGGGGAGATCAGTTACTACTGTACTTTGATTTTGTTCAACCCAATCACCATGTTACAAAAATAGCAAGCTGCCATAGAAAAAAATAAGGCTCCTCTATCCAGCACCAGTTATCTGCAGATCTTCACCTCCAGGCCTATAAACACAAAGAACATAAAGGAGCAAAGATGAAATACTAGAAATAGGAGGAAAATAATACCACACAGGAATAGCTCAGCCTGAACCATGTAGTGGTCCCAGCTAATACATCAGATAGGGTTTCTTTGCTCCCTTTAATCAGCATTTTTAAAAGGCACTGGAGGTGAGATATCGCTGCACATAACCTTTCAGAATGACCAAAATTCAGAGCACTTACCTCACCAAGTACTGACAATGGTACAGAGAAGTGGAAAATCTCACTCATTGCTTTTGGGAATGCAAAATAAAACAGCCACTGTGGAAGACAGTTTGGCAATTTCTAACAAAACTGAGCAGATTCTTACCATATGATCCAGCAATCATACACTTTGGTATTTACCTAGAGGAGCTGAAACTCATGTCCACACAAACTTGTATACAGATGTTTGTAGAAGCTTTATTCATATTTGCCGCAACTTGTAAGCATCAAAGATGTCTTTTATTAGGTGAATGGATAAACTGTTGATTCAGACAATGGGATGTTTTTCACCAGTAAAAAGAAATGAGCCATCAAGCCATGAAAAAACTTGGAGGAAACCTAAATACATATTACAAAGTGAAAGAAGCTAAAACAAAAAGCTACATATATGCTGTATGATTCCAACTATGTAGCATTCTGGAAAAGGCACTATGGAGGCAGTAAAAAGATCAGTGATTGCTGGGGAATGAGAGTGTGAAAGATGAATAAGCAGAACATAGAATATTTAGAGCAATGAAAATACTCTTATTCAGATGTGAATATATGTCATTATATATTTGTCTCAATCCATAGACTAATACTAAAGTGAATCCTAATGAACACTATGATGATCATTGTTCGTTAGGTTCATTAATGTGGGAGACTGTACATGTGTAGGCCAAGGGATATTTGGGAAATCTCTGCCTTCTACTCAATTTTATTGTAAATCTAAAACTGCTCTAAAAAGAAATAAAGCTAATGAAATTTAAGGCACAGAAGTGGTATAATTACTGCTATGGAACAAACTACCTCCAAAATTTTGTGGCTTAAAACAATTACTATTTGCTCACAAATTCAGAGCCAGGTACTTGGGTTGGGCTTCATTGGGTAATTTTTCACCTGACTTCATCTGGGGCCACGCCTGTGGCTACAGTCATCTTGTGACACCACTGGGCTAGATGGTCTAAGATGGCTTCTCTTGGATGTCTGCTTTAGTGAGGACTGATGACTGGGCTTCTTCTCACAGCAGCAACAGAAACTGCAAGGACTCTGGAGACCTAGGGATGGATGTCACATTGTTGTTTATATATTCTGTTGGCCAAAGCAAATTATAAGGTCATCCTAGTTGCAGTGGAAAGAGAAATAGACTCCACTTCTTGGTGGAAGGACTGCAAAGAATTTGGGGGGCGGTTTTTAATCCACCACAAATAGAAGAGGGCTGGATGAGTTTATGATGTGTCACTCAGCCCTTTTGGCTTTTCTGTAGCCTAAGTAATATTTCCTGCAAAGTTAACCATTTTAAGCTCTTTGTCTTTTATTACCGTGCCTTCAACTTTTTTTCTGTTTCTCTTAGAAAAACTATAAATTAAAATGAAAATAAAAATTTTACCAGTAATTAATTGAATTTTGAAAACTCTGAGTGATAAAACCATGTTTAAAAAGAGAGTGTAGCCAGAGATGGTGGCACAGGCCTGTATTTCCAGCACTTTGGGTGGCTAAGGCAGTAGGATCCTAACTTCTAGTCTTGGCTGGGTGATCCTATCTCAAAACAATTAAAAATGGCTAGGGAGGTTATTAGTTTCCAGTACCAAAAGGAAAAGAAGAAAGAAAGAAAAGGAAAGGAAGAAGGAAAAGAAAATGTAATTTAAGCTTACTTTTTTGTATTTGCATGAACTTGAACTTGATTAACTCCTATGGAGAACTCAGAGTCCTGACTTTAATATTAGACCAGGAATATGTTATTACACATCATTTGCTAGTATTTAATTAAATATCTGGTATTAAATTTTTTAATCATGTTACTGGGTAACCATTTAAAACCTTGACCAGTATTAATTTCCTAGGTAAATAACCTGATTCATATTCTCTATGGGTAAATATGGATGACCACCTTTTAGAATGATCTAAAATACTGAATTAGTTAATTCTGAATTGATGTTTTTAGTTTTAAGTAACTTTCGCCAGTACTCAGCAAATATAACAGTGATTTTCTCTGAGTTGTATTACTTTATAATCCTTTGTAGTCTGCTATTGAATTCTGCTTTCTATTTTAAGAGTTCATAGCCTTTGTTCATTAATCATTGGAAACAGTTGTGCGACATTCCTTGACATTAAGTTGAACATCTATAATTAGAACTGCTACAATCAGTGGTTGAGAACAAGATTTCAGTAGTTTGTGTCATGTGTTAAGTAGACATTGCAAGGTTAGAAGGAACTCTTAAGAAATAAGTAAGTGATTTGTGTTGTGTGTATGTCTGTGTAACTATTTAAATAGAGTCCGCCAAAAAAATATACATCAGGAAAAGAAAAACTTGTATAAATATTTTACTACTAAATTTATTAAGCTATCATGAGATCAATACAAGTTACCTTTGGGCTTTACAATTACAAGAGGTGCTCCAAGTGGTGGCCATTAGCTTCCAGGGATTTATTAGTATGCCAAGCTGCTGAAATGTGTATACATTTTTTTGGCAGACTCTGTAGTTAAAAGTGTCTTTATTAAGCAGATGAACAAATTATATCTGTTATTATAAATTCGTAAGTTATACAAACCATCTTTCCTTTATGCCAGTCACTGAAAACTTGAGATGATAAAATATATTTCTACATGTCTTTTCATGCCTTTTTGGGGGTAGGGTTGAAACAGAGTCTTACTATGTATTCTAGGCTGGCTTTGAACTCTTTGTAGCCAAGGTGGCCTCAAACTTAAAATTCTCCTCCCTCGGCCTCCAAAGTGCTGGGATTACATATGTGTGTCACCATGCCTGGCTCTCTTCATTTTTAAAGGAAATTTTTATTACATATACTCTTATTTTAAATGAATGACTTGTTCCCCCTCTCTCTCTTCAGAATATATAAAAACCTGTTCACAAAAATGGCATCCTGGTTATATGAATGTCTTTGTGAAGCTGAACTTGCACGGTATTATCCTCATTTTACTGCCCTTGGCCTTCAGAAAATAGATGAATTAGCCAAGGTTACAATGAAAGACTACTCTAAATTGGGAGTCCGTGACATGAATGACCGCAAACGTCTCTTCCAGCTGATCAAAATCATTAAGATTATGCAGGAAGAGGAGAAAACAGTCAGTAGCCCAGACCATCCTTTTCAGACAAGCAACCAGTACATTAAGACTCAGGAATTCAGATCTGGCCCTCGAAGACAACTACAGTTTGACTCTCCTGTTGACAACAAAGACAGAACTGCTAGCAAAAATGGCTTTGAAATGCATAATATATCAGATTTCCCTGCAAATGAACAGAAGTCCGCTTACCTAAAAGTGCTAGAACACATGATACCAGATGATTCCCAGTACCATACGAAAATGCAAACTCTGAATGCCACAGCTGCTGATTCCTATGTGCAAACAGAAACTAATGCTTCACTGTTTTCATCACATCTCTTTTCTCCATTTATGGGAAATTGTGATATTCCCATTATTCAGAGAGTTTCTCATGTTTCAGGGTATAACTATGGAATCCCTCAATCTTGTATCAGGTAATAATTTTTATTTTTACTTTTTTTTTTTTGAGGGCAGTTTGCCTCAGACAAGGGCAGGCCTCTCCATGACTAGAAGAGAGCAACTACTATTACAGGAAATAAATATAACAGAAATTATAGTGAACAGGTTAGCTTTTGTTCACTATAATAGAAATACTATAATATAGTAGAATAGAAATACTATACCTGGGTGGAGAAAAATTAAGGAATTGAAACTGTCCAGATGGGAGAAAGATGATATTGTTCATGTGCATCAAACAACTGCTACTTGCCAAGATCTGCTGTTATTCCTATAGTAGACCTATTTCTATTATTTATTATAGTGTAACATGATACATCTAGTGCATACATCAAAGTAAATAATTAACTGGCCTTTTGCAATGGTAAAAAATTGTACAAGTCACAAGATTGTTTAAAGCCTATCAAATTCACTTAAAACAACCAAGGGTCTTACAGCTTAGTTAAAAGAAAAGAGCATGTAGTTAAATTAAGTAGGTCATTGGAGCACATAGTTCATCTGGACGTATTGAAATATGATCTTAATTTAGAGTGCTTATAATTTTACAATTCTGGCCCTGGAAAAACAAGATTTTGATGTATTACAAAGACTAAGGCACTTTTGGTGGCAAATAGAGCTTGAGAGTCAGAATAATAAGTTATTTTCACCTAGTGCTTCAAGTTGGGATTTAAAATAAGTTCCTTAAGAGAAGAGATACTGAGTAATCCCTAATATTAACAGTGATATAATAGAAAATATATTCTTTTAAAAAATTATAGGGCACTGTGTTCTCTCTTGTATGTGGCCCACCCTTATGCTGTAGGTTCCTACTTTTATGTGGCCCAAACTCACTCTGTAGAGCCTGTTTCTTTTCCTACCTTAATAAAAGTTTTCTACCATTAAAAAACATTTTCTGCTTATAATTAACACCACACCACGCTCTTTTTTTTTTTTTGTACCGGGGATTGAACTCGGGTCCTCGCACTTGCACAGCAGGCGATGAAACCACTGAGCTAAATCCCTGGCCCCTAAAAAACATTTTCTAACATTAAAAACAAAACCAAAAAATTATATTCCTTGTTTTTTATTTTTAAAGCAACGTATGTGAGTTATTGGAAAACAAAATTCATTTTTAATCTTTTTTTTTTTAGTACCGGGGATCGAACTCGGATCCTTCCACTTGCACAGCGGGCGGTGACACCACTGAGCTAAATCCCCAGCCTTTAAAGTGCTGTTGTTTGGGCCAGGGATTTAGCTCAGTGGTTTCACCACCTGCTGCGCAAGCTCAAGGACCCGAGTTCGATTCCCCGTACCAAAAAAGGAAAAAAAAACTGCTGTGGTACATACCTTAAGACCTATTTATATCTGGTCTTATATTGGCTAAGGTTCCAGATGACCTCATAACCAGTTCTTTTACTCCAAAAAAAAAAAAAGACTCAGTTTTAAAGATTAAAAGTATCTGTAGTAGTTTGAAATATGTAAGTGTACTTTATAATGTTTCTGAAAACTTTTATTTTTGGTTTGATCTAATGGCAAATAGAGCATTTAGTACAGTACTGTTCTCTTTTAATTGTGAGAGAACTAGATTGTTCCATGACTGTGAATCCAGGATAATTGCTGTCCTGTTGTTCAGCTCAGCAATAAAAGCAAATCTTTTTGAATATTACAGTCTTTTATTGAACAACACATAGAAATCTAAATTGGATTTATAAATAAAAATAGAACTTTGTGTTATTTAACATTATCAATGATAGAATGCATATTTAGCTTAAATATTGCCATTATATTTATTTGAAAAATGTTAAGTACTGTCTCTGTTAGGTCTGACTCTAGTATAAAAATAATTAGGATATTTGGAAGCTCTTAGACTCTTAGAGGGCAGGCTGAGTGGGATGACAGATATAAACTACCTATGCTGCCCTAGGTGCTCTTATACACAATTATACATACAAACCCAGAGTGAAGGCTCTTCAACTGAGCTTTCTCACATTAGCTCACTTCCCATTTTATATTAGAGAATTGAATGTAAGAAAGTACATTTCCCCTAATATCCCTCAGACCCCAAATAGTAGTAAGGATTTTCGAACACTAAAAAACCAACTTACCAACTTAAAACTTGCCATTAGGAGTCATCATATCCAAAGAGCTTTCTTTTTGGATACCTCACATCAGGTTTTTGCTTTTCAGATAGTTCAAAAGTTCAAATACTTTTCAAAAGTTTAAATTATTGGCCTTAGAATTTTAACTAAAGTCTAATGCATTTAGAAAACTGGTTGCCCTGACTTAATTAACATCTTAAATAGTTCTAACTCCAGTTGTATTAACTCTTTGCATGTCGTAGTTTATTCTATGGAAGATTGGGCATTTAAACCATTGTCTTTTAGATTATGCATTCCTTTTTGCCCTTTTTAACTTAAAAAGTAATTCTATTTTGAGACAGTGTCTCACTAAGTTTTCAGGTGAGGCTTGAGTATGCCTCAGCCTCAGCCTCCCAAGTAACTGCGATGATAGGTGTGTGCTGAGCTGAAATCAACATTTTATTGTATCATTTTAACAACAGTTTTGTGTCAGAAGTCTTAGAGCTGAAATGAGTGTTAGGGTTCAGTTTGTTTATTTGGGGGTTTTTGTTTTTTTGCAAGGCAATGGGTGGTGCAGGGTAGGGATGGAGATGGAAGTACTCAGGAGCCCTAATAAAAGAACTATCTCATTGGTGCTTTAGTGTGTTATTAAAAATTCACTATGCCCAGTATATAAGATGTACTAATACTTTGACCTCTTACATAGCCTTATCTTATTATTAAAAATTAAAGCCTATTTATAAACAAATGTCAGACAGAACACCTCAGAGAAAGAGAATCCTTGGACTGAGATGGAGAAAATCAGAGTTTGTGTTCGAAAACGACCTCTCGGTGTAAGGGAGGTACGTCGTGGAGAAATTAATATTATTACTGTAGAAGACAAAGAAACTCTACTTGTACATGAGAAAAAAGAAGCAGTTGACCTCACACAGTATATAATGCAGGTATGATGTTTTCCTTCTGTGTTTGGAATCAGTATTATCAAGTATGTTAATTTAATACCTTTTGTTTAAATGGTTCCATAAATTTCTAAAATCCAGTTTCTGGTTTGGCATTAAATCATTGATTGTTTGGCCCTTCATTTTTTTTAAAAGTATGGTGTAGTAGGTTATACAAAAATGTAATTCCTCTATTCTTGTGTGATGGAACTAAATCATACATTCACCTAACGCATTTTATGTGAATTTATACATAACCAACAAAGAGGAGGGGAAGAAAATAAAAATAATTTTTTGAGACAGGGTATCATTATTTAGTTCAGGCTGGCCTTGAACTCACTGTGTAGCCTTGGCTGGCCTTTAACTAACAGCAGTCCTCCTGCCTCAGCCTCCCAAGTGCTGGGATGCAGTGTGAACCACCATGCCTGGCATAAAATAATTTAAATAAGTGGTTGTCATCAGGACAAGTCACTAAACATGTGCCTCAGAGTGACTGTGAGATGGTCAGTCACGTATTTGGACTCTATTCTTGCCTACATCTCACAATGTGAGCTTGTCACTGTGATGAGTGTAAGTCTTGAGTTTAATGATGGACAATATCTTGTTGACCAACAAGGCTCCAGATAGCAGCCAACTGCTTATTTTGATTTTCAGCTACCTTGGGCTTAGATTTAACTGGTGGAAATGGGGATCTGATAAGGCCAGTTTGTACAGGGTAGCTTGCAATGAGTAAATATAATCCATATGTTTTCGTATCTAACATGTAAGGGCTAAATAAAACATTGTTAGCTAAGGCACATAAAAATGTTTATTTTCTGTTAAAATATTATGGAAAAGGTTTGTTATTGAACTAAGCTAGTAGGTACCCTTGCAATAACTCTTCATTGTCATAGGGAAGCAGCAAATTCCACAGATGGGAGAAATCATGTTTTTTGATACTTGTAAATCTGTGTTACTAGGTACTCCTAAAATTGTGAAACAGTTGTGAATGATCAAAAACAGCAGGTTATCTACCAGATGTAAAGATTTTGGAATTCAGTTTGTATTGCTCTGAATCTGCCTCCTTAAACCTTATTAGGAGGCTGGGGATTTAGCTCAGTGGCACCATGCCTGCCTTGCAAGCGCAAGGTCCTAAGTTTGACCTCTGGTGCCGCAAAAAAAAAAACCCTTCATATTATATTTATTCTCTTATTCTCTTTCTCTTCTTCTCTTGGTTTACCACCCATAAACTGATAGAAAGCAAAAAAAAAAAAAAAGATGAGTAATCTGGGGTGCTAGCAATCCACCTTAGCTGATATCTTACCCTATAAGAATAAATCCTTTAACACTGAAGTCAAGTTGTTAAAATGTCCCTCACACCTTCATTGTTCTTTTTCTTTGATGAGCAAAATTGGGTTTCCTTTTGACACTTAGAGTAATCCACCAAGTCCTTCTGTGGGCAGTAAATTACCAGGCCACTGTTTAACCAACCCAATCACTTTAACAGCCTTATTGATTGCTGATCAATGCACAGTCTATTAGGTTTTAGTGGGAGGTATTTATTTTGAAGATGGTCAAATGACCAGTTAGTTCTAATGCTATCTAGTTCCATGGCTAGTTATACCCACAGTAATAGTTCTATCCAATCACTGTCTACCCAAGACTTCCTTAATGATGCTTCAATCACAGTAATTCCCTCAAGGAGGCATCATCGTATCTTTTGTATTTTTCCATTATCCCTAAACACAATAAACTTACTTTTTTATCATTACCATTGGTCAATATGTATTGAATACCTATAGTTTCCATGGCATTTCCTCTGCTGTTTAAACTTTGGACCTTTGTTCTCATAGGTCAAAATCCTTAACTGTCAATGCTATAACATAGAAGTATTGGGAGAACTTTTTCTCTTTTCGTTTCTCGAAGAAAAAGAAGGTTCATAGCAAACTTGGTGCTAAATAAATATTGATTCTCAATTCTTTGAGTCTTATTTTTATTTACTCAGGGATTAAAACAATAGGTGTTTGTCTAATCAAATATCCTATCTTTTCAAATCTTGTTACTTAGTAAATACGATTATTATACATGTAGTGTGCTATATCCTTTTAACCATTAAGTTTTATAATATCAGCATAATGAGTGAAAAAACAAGAAAATCAAATAGTTGTTTGTTTGTTTGCTTTGAGACAAAGTCTTGATATATAGTCCAGGCTGATGAACTTACAGTGATCCTCCTGCCTCAGCCTCCCAAGTTCTGGGATTAAAGGTCATCTGGCCCTCTCTCTGTCTCTCTCTCTCTCTCTCTTTCTCTCTTTCTCTTTCTTTCTTTTTTTCTTCAGTAGTGGGAATCAAGCCAAAGCCCTCACACATGATAGGCAAATGCTGTCACTGAGCTGTATCTCCAGCCTCCCTTCCAATTTTTTAAAGAAAAGTATATTAAGAAAAAGATTGCACTGAAATATACCAAAAAGTTAACAGTGTTTATCTCTGAGTATCAAAACTTGAAATTCTGGCTTTCTTTTCTATAGTTCTCCATATTTTTAATGCTTTCTACAACCATCTGTGTCACTTTTATATTAAAAAATAAAAACTTGTGCTTGCTTCAGCAGCACATATACTAAAAAATAAAAACTTAAATAGCATAGATTCACTTATATTAAAATCAAGTAGTACAAAAGGGTGTACAGTAAATAGTAACTCTTATTTCAACCTCCATTTCTTCCTTGAAGGAAATTATTGTTACACATTTTACGTATGTCTTTCCAGGGGTATCTTATAAATACATATTACTGTACTTTCATAATCTAAAAAATACTTTATGAATTGTTTTTACTTTTGTTTTTGTTTTTTGGTACTGGGGATCAAACTCAGGACCTTGCGTTTGCAAGGCAGGCATGGTGCCACTGAGCTAAATCCCCAGCCCTGGTTTATATATCTTAACTACAGTAATATTTCATTTCACACAGTTTACATGAAAGATTATTTGCAAAAGTATTAAAAACATCATCTAAATCCTACTGAAAGGAAAGATACTAATTCTGTTAATAAATACTTTGCCAATCCTTATTCAAGAGCTAAAGTTATTCATGACAGTATATAAAGAAGGAAGAATTGCCATATTCTCAGAGAAATGAAAGGAAACCAGAAAAATGTATTTATACACTTAACTTGGTTTTTCCCTTTATTTTCTTGAGAACTACAAATATACATGTCTTCTTTTTTTGTTTGTTTGTATGTTTTACAGAGCTAGGGAATCAAACCCAAGGCCTTGTACATGCTAGGCAAGTACTTAATCACTGAATACACTCCTAGATCCTGTGTCTTTTTCTTTCTTTCTTTTGATCATTTTCCTTTGATCTCATAAAGGTCTATGGTGATATTTGAGCAATAAATTCATTTTTTCCCTACTTAGATACTAGATATGAGTTAGATATAAATACTGTTTGTTAAAACCATATTTTACAAATATATTTAACTCTTATTGACTTAAGCTTGATCAAAAGTTTTTTGGGGTTTTTTTTGGTAAGTGGGATCGAACTCAGGACCTTGCGCTTGTGAGGCACGCGCCGGAACCACTGAGCTAAATCCCCAGCCCAGGCTTGATCAAAAGTATAGTGAACCCCCGTGAACCTATCACTGAGCTTCAATACTTACCATCACATTTTTAAAAGCATTAAAAGTTTATAGTTTTTTAAGGGGGGGCATCATTCTGCACAGCCTTGTTATCACACTTTTAACTCTTGGAAGCTTTTTCTAAATGATAAACTTGGCTTTGTGGTCTCATTTTTTCACAGATGACCTAACAAATTTCCATTCCAATGTAATTAATCCTAAATAAAAGAGAATTGAGGGCTGGGGATTTAGCTCAGTGGTTCCGCCACCTGCCTCACAAGCCCAAGGGCCCAAGTTCGATCCCCGGTACAAAAGAAAAAAAAGAGAGAGAATTGAACCTGGACCAGAATGATCCACCTTAAATTGACCCAAATCCAATTTTTGTAATCTCTCTATACAATTTTTTCTTTTTTCTTTTTTTTTTTTTTTTTGGTACCGGGGGTCAAACTCGGGTCCTTGCGCTTGTGTAGCAGGCGACGAAACCACTGAGCTAAATCCCCGGCCCTATACAATTTTTCCTTAACTGGATATTTAGAGCAAGCCCAAAAGGTGGCAGAAAGCCAGGCCTAGATATCTCTCATTCATTGTGTATATCGTTGTGCTACAGTCAGGCCTGAAATTATTAGAATTTTTTACTTAGATATAGTTGGGTTGCCAACATTGTAAACCCCTAAATTAAACAAACACTGTAATTACAACTGCTGAAGTAATGCTTTCCAGACCCAATGTAATGGGATCGCCTATCTCTCCTTTCCCCCATTACCATAATTTTTAAAATTTTGAAATCATTTTAGAGCCCTTTATGCTGGGCATGGTAGTACACACCTATAATCCTAGCACTCAGGAGGCAGAGGCAGGATCATCCTCTGAGTTTGAGGCCAGTCTGGGCTACATAATGAGTTCAAGGCCAGCCTGAACTACATAGTGAGACTCTGTCTCCAAAAAAAAAAACCTACAACAACAAAATTTTCTCTCTACATCCAATCAGTTGCCAAATTTGTAATCTCCTTATTTCTATTATCATCTATTTAGACCCTTCTTCCCCACTCCCACCCCAGTACTAGGGACTGAACCCAAGGCCTCACAGTGAGCTACATCCCCAGCCCATTTTATTTATTTTTATTTTTATTTTATTGTACTGGGAATTGAAATTGAATCCAGGGCCTTTGCACTGAGCTACATCACCAGGGTTTTTTGTTTGCTTTTTTGTGCTTTTTGTTTTGAGACAAGGTCTTGCTAAATTGCCCAAATTAGCCTTGAATTTGCAATTCTCCTGTGTCTCTCCTTCCCCATTAGCTGGGATTACAGGCATGTGCCACCATGCCAGCTAATTTAGACCCTTCTTGCCTCACCACTATCCCATCTATTCATATAGTGAAGCCAGATTAATCTTCCAGGAACATGGCTGAGATTATCTTCCTCCTTTGCAAAGTTTTTTTCACTGTCTCCCACTGTTTATGAAATTAAACATGAACATTCTGTTACCTACTTGAGGCTGGTGTCCCAAGACCTCTGCAACATAGGCTTAACTCGTTATTCTAGCCTTCTGTGTCACCTTTCCTATATTTCAGCTACATTGAATCCTGACTGATCCTTAAACATTAATTAAACATGCAGTTCCTTGAGCTTTCTGACTCTTTATTCATACTTACCCTGTGCCTTGAATACTTTCCCTCCCTTTACCTCTCAAATTCCTCTTCTTCCCCCATGGTCCATTCTCAATGCACTTTTTCATAATCTCTTTCCCAATCAGACAGAATTTTTTTCCTTTGAGTCCCATGCTGCTGCTTTATAGTCATTTGTGTATTTGTCATTTGTATATATCTTTAGGGGTTGAGGTAAGGTAACTTCTATATCTTTTGGCTCTTTCAAGTGCCTACTGCCATATACATTGTATCAGCTGAACAGTAAATATTATGGAACTAAAAGCTAAGTCATGTAACCTATAAAATGGAAATTCCCTAGAATTCCTCCAGGCTTTCAAATATACTGGCCTACACTACATCGACAGCCCTGACTTTTTTGAAAAAAATAACTTTTTAGAAATAGAAATGGAGCCGGGGATGGTGGTACACACCTGTAATTCCAGCACTTAGGAGGCTGAGGAAGGAGGATCACTGAGTTCGAGGCCAGCCTGAACTACATAGCAAGACCCTGTCTCAAAAAACCATATATATATTTTTTTCTTAGTTCCTTTTCTCTCACTGAGACAAAATACACAACACCCAAAGTTAAAAGGAGAAAAGGCTTATTAAGCTCACAATTTGTAGAGGTTTCAGTCCATAATTGCCTGGCTCCAAAGCAGAATGGCATCACAGAGGAGAAAAAGTTCATGGCAGGCAGAAGGTAGCAAAAGCAACAAGGGACAACCACAGCTCTTTCTATCCCTTATATTTTATCCAGGCTACTTAGGGCAGGTAACACTCACCCTTAATCCTAGTGCCCTTGATCCTAGCATTGCACCATGAATCAATCCCAGCATCACATACTCTAGTTCCAGCCACCTCGGAAAAAGCCCCACCTATGAACACATGAGGCTTTGGAGGACATCCAGACACAAGCGATGATGGGGGAGGGGTTATATACAATAAGATGCACATATAAGTATTCATGTTTGATGAGTTTGATAGCTGTATATCCCTATAGAATTGAGTTTTCCCAGACATAAAGAGGAATGGTTCACTCTTGTGCTCATCAAATTACTTCCCTTAAGAAAACAAAAATCATATGCCTAAGTTTCTACATTGTAAGAACATGGCTATAGATATCTCAAGTAAAAGCAGGCCCTGTCATTTAACAATTACTGCTTATCTGAGTTTATCATGGTCACTTGCTATTATTTTAAAATGTATTTAGGCCTTTATCATGTGCTACCTAGAATAGTAGTGAAGAAAATCAGAAAGCATCTCTTTCTATGAAAATGAAATTTATTTTTCAGCATGTTTTTTATTTTGATGAAGTCTTTGGTGAGGCCTGCACCAATCGAGATGTATACATGAAGACTACTCACCCCCTCATTCAGCATATTTTCAATGGGTGAGAAAAATTATTTGCTTTTCTTGCTTTTTGTTTTCTAGTTTCCATAAATCATTCCTTTGTAAATATCACTTGTGCTTTTTAGTTCTTTTGAATGAAACATGAATTTGTATTTTGATTTATTGAATTTAAATTAGACTCTTCTGGAAAAGTATAATGTCTCAATTTATAGGATTTGCCAAGCATTCAGAAATTTGTGGCAAAATTCCCTTTTATACTGATGTTGTTTCTCTGTTTAGTGGAACAATGTATGCTGTCAACAATTTAATTTTATCCAAGTCTTCAGAAACAAGGTTTAAGTGGTTTGATAATAGGGATAACACATTCTGGCTAGAGTATTTTTATTTTAAGTTATACATATACTTTAGTTAAGGCTTTTAGTTTACATTTGGCCACCTCAAAGTAGTTGTAACATTAGGTTGGTCAGTTTAAATACTGTGGCTTCTTGTTGGGTAGACACACAATCTTTACAACCAAACATTAATGCAGATAAAGCAACAAGGCATTGTTAAATAAAACAGCAAGTTACTGCAAATTAGGCCTTCTGACCAATTACACATGATTAAAATTACTTCCCACATTCCCATCCACAGTACTCATCCACCATTTAACATCTCAACCAAAACGTTACACATATGAAACAATCACTAACAGGCAAAAATACTAAACCTATATATTTGGTATTGCAAATACACTTATGCATGCACAAGCAAGGAATTCACAGTGAGAAGCTATAGCTGCAGAAGCCTGAAAGTTATTTATAAAAATTGTTAAATCTTTAAAAAATTGTTTGAAAATATACACTTCTTGTTGTAGATTCCTACTGTACACACAACTATAAGTATTATTCTGTATATAAACAAAAAAGAAAACATATAAGGAAATTTGAAAAGTCTGGACATTTCCTTCCCAACAGATGTTAAAGGTAGTGTCTTTAAGACATTACACTGAAAGGACTATCAATTTTAAAGACAAGATCACTGTCTCCACAGGTTGTAAAAAAATTTTTTTAACTATATAGGTGTGCTAATCAAAGTGCTTATTTTGTACAATACAGTGATAATGACCTTAATTTTTAAAAATTACAATAAGCTACAAGTATCAAAGAAGTGAAGTTATCGATAGTAGTCTATATAGGAGCTCTTTGGACTTTTTTTTTATTATGCTAAACTAATGGTGCTTTTAGGATTTACATTATTGTGCTCTCCAATACAAAGAATGGGGTGTGTTAAAGTATACAGTACACCATTTTCACACATGTACAACACTGGTGGATGAAAAAATGTCTCATAGCAATAATATTGGATGTAGCCTCTGGTTTTACCAGCTGCATACTCTAGGACTATTATATAAGTAAAAAATCCCTCTTGTGATCCTGGAAAGTGATTAGAATGTGCAAACTGATAGAGTAGCTTTCATCTGCCTCTTAAAGGGTACCACACCACTGGAAAGTCCATTTAAGATGTTGATAGGTTTTACAAAGTTGGAATATTGGCACTGTTGAATTGGGCAACAGTTCTTCATACCTGGCTCAGAGCTACAATGCATGTAGTATATTAAAGCAGCTGACATGATGACTTTTTGTGGGCCTTCCCAGGCACTGGAGTTTTTCTGTTAATTTGCCGCACTAGGTCATAAAAGGTCTCATTAATATTTATTTTTGATTTTTCAGAAGATTCTAAGAATGCATAGGTTTTCCACTCTTGCTAGATTTTTACCTTGTTCCTTTTCTACAACTGTTTCATCTTCCAAGTCACATTTATTACCAACCAGAATCACCAGGACATCATCAGTCTCTTTAACTTGAAGAAACTGTTCTCTCAGATCTTGTAAATCATTAAATGTGAACTATGCTATGATAGAATAAACTAAAGCAAAGCCGTGTCCGTTTTTCATGTACAAATCTCTCATTGCTGAAAATTGTTCCATTCCTGTAGTATCCAAAATTTCAAGCATCTATGGCTGTGCATCTACTTCAATTTACTTTCTGTAAAAATCTTCTATCATAGGGTTCTATTTTTCAACAAAAATTCCTTAAACAAACTGTACAGTCAGAGCAGACTTTCCAACGCCTCCTGAGCCAAGAACAACTAGCTTATTCACACATGATGACCACTTGTCAAACGGAGTACCTCTCATGTTGTCACTGGGCCACCAAAGCAGCCAATGTCACCCCACACTCCCTCCTGGTCACTGCTGCCAGGCTCCAGTGCTCCTGCCGCTGTCTCCGCTGCTGCTGCCGCCACTCAGACTGGTTTACACTCCTGACTCTGGGCAGGTTTTCCTGGCTATAGTTTAATTTTTTCATTAGACTAGGTATATAAGTGAATGTTACTTATCAACTTTGCATACCTGTATTTTTTATTTGAAATTATTATTCACAATAAATATTAAATGAGACAGAAAAGGTAGTAGGAGCCTCATATATTTTAAATGTAGGCATGTCCTAGAAGAAAATGCCAAGTGACCTGCTAGAATCACAGATTCCAGAGAAGTTTGACTTTTTCTTTACTTATTTTTGTGGTACTACAGATCACATCTAGGTCCTCACCCATGCTAGGGAAGCACTGTACCACTGAGCTGCATCCCCAGCCTTGACTTTTTAAAAAATAACTATTTTAAAAAATAGAGGTGGAATTTACATACAGTAAGATGCACATATAATATTCAAGTTCGATGAATATATACAAGTAACTGATACCTGAACAAAACATAGAACATTTTTATCACCTGTAAAGTTCTGTTCTTTTTAATTAATCTCACGCCTCCATTTCCAGGTCTTATGTAACCACTGAACTGTTTTCTGTGACTGTCGATTACTTCTACGTGTTTTAGAGTGTCATAAGTATAGAATCATTACATTACATACTCTTTTATGCCTCGTTTCTGTTGGCTTAGCATAAATTTGTATATTAGTATACATTGTTGCTTGTGTCTCTAGGGTACTTTTTGCTCAATATTCTCTTCTATGGCTATATATCACAATGTGCATATCAGTAATCTTGTTGCCAGATATTTGGATTATTTCTAGTTTGAGACTATTATGAATAAAGCTGTATAAACATTCACATGCTAAGTCTTTTTTTTTGGTACCGGGGATTGAACTCGGGACCTTGCGCTTGCGAGGCAGGCACTGGAATCACTGAGCTAAAATCCCCGGCCCCCACATGCTAGTCTTTTTATGGGCATATTTTCATTTACCTCAGATTAAAAACCTAGAACAGGAATTGCTGTGCCATAGGACAGGTGTATGTTTATAAGAAAATGTTCAATGATTTTCCAGAGCAAGGGACTGCTTTATACTTCCAATACCAGTTTATGAAATGTGTAGTTCCACAACCATACCAGCAGTCTTTATTTTATCCAATAAGATCATATCTTATTATAATTTTAATCTGAATTTCCCTAATGATACTGAGGGTCTTTGCCATTTGAATAGTTTCAGTTGCTGGTCGTTTGTTTATTTATTTTTGAGACAGTCTTGCTGTGTAGCCAAGGCTGACCACAAATTCAAAATCCTCCTGCCATAGGCTGGGGATTTAGCTCAGTGGTTTGGGCTCCTGCCTCGCAAGCACAAGGTCCCGAGTTCGACACCTAGTACCAAAAAATAATTCGGTATGAAATCATCCTGCCTCAGCCTCCCAAGTGCTGGGATTATGGTTATGTGCTACCATGCCCCTGGCCTCAATTTTTCTGAGACAGGATCTCACTATGCAGGCTGTCCTCGAACTCACTGCGTAGCCCAGGCTGGCCTTGAAATCACAGTCCTCCTACCTTATCCTCCCAAGTGCTAGGATTATAGTGCACACCACCATGCCTAGCTTGTGTTCTTTTTATTGTGGTTTTGTGGAAATTCTTTTTTAAAAATTTTATGAGCCGGCTAATAAAAATATTTTTCAGCAGAGGGTTTAGCTCAGTGACACTGCGCCTGGCTTGTAAGAGCAAGGTCCTGAGTTCAATCCCCAGTACCAAAAAAAAATTTTTTTTTCAGGTACAATTTCTTTTTTTTTTTTTTTAACGGTAGCAAAGTTTTGTTAAAGGTAGAAAAAGAAACAGGCTCTGCAGAGCAAATTTGGACCAAGTAAAAGTAGGAACAGAAGTGCACCCTATAGTGTGAAGGCAGGTCACCATGCAAAAGTGACCACAGTAGCTATCAGGTACAATTTCTTTTTTTTGTTTGTTTGTGGTACTGGAGATTGAACTTGGGACCTTGTGCTTTCGAGGCAGGCAGCTTAACCACTGAGCTAAATCTCCGGCCCTAGGTATAATTTCTTATGCACAAAAGCTAGGAAATGTTATTTGAGAGAGCAAGTTTCTAAAGTAAGTTAAAATCTAAAGTGTAGTAAGATTTTTATGCCCATGTTTGTTACTTTTTTAAAAAAAGAAAAACCTCATCATTAAAATGTTATATGGCTTTCAGTCCCTTTCTATGCACTAATCTCTCTGCCCATCTCTAGCTTCCCCCTACTCCAGACACACATGGGTTTTTTGGGGGGAGTTTTCATGTTGCAAGCAGCTTCTTTTATCATTAACCCCTGTGGATGTTCAAGACCCTGCACTGCTACTTAACCACCTAATATTATGTTCATTCTGTACTTAGAAATGCGTAATTGAGTCTCACAATACTCAGGTAATCTCCTGAATCATACTATGATTGACAGTTTGGTCTCTTAACTTCCTTCTCCCCCTATTATTCTGCAGTTCTTCATACTCACACAATGTGTGCACACCCATGTATCCACGTGTAAGAATAGTGATTCTCACTTAGAATCACAGGATGCCAGGATTGGAAGGAATCTTAGAAACCAAATTACCCACCTGGCGTGGTGGCACATGCCTGTAATCCCAGCACTTGGGAGGCTGAGGCAGAAGGATTACTGCTTCATAGTGAGTTTAAGGCCAGCCTGGACTACATAGGAAGACCCTGTCTCAAAAAAAGCACAGACAAAGAAAAAACAAAGAATCCAAGATCCAAGTAATCCATTAACCTATAATGAAAGTGAAAATCCAGGCCCAGAGACACATGAAGTACCTTGCCTAAGGCTTATAATCAGTTAATGGCTGAACTAGAGACCAGAATGCAGGGTTTTTTTCCCTCAAGATTTAGCATGTCTGCCACACCAAATCTGTTCTGCTCCTGTGCCCTCTGCTCACACTGCTGCTACTCCACGGTAGAGGCTCTCTGCCTTCTCAGCTTCTGCCTCCAAGTCCTGTTCCCTATCTTGGCTTCCTCAAATACTGTACTACTTTGTTTATATTGATGTTACCTTTGTCTAAAGATACCAAAAAAGAACCCAAAAATAAATAACGTTGCTTCATTTTCATATGACTAGTTACTACCATCCTATTTATCATATGATCTTCTATTACTTACTCCATTTATTTTAATTCTCTATGACTTTCACCAAATTTATCACTCCAGATTAAGATAAAATCTTCTCTAGGATCCTCTAAAGCACCCAGCAGGGGGTGGGAACTCAAATGCTTGTTGGCCATGTGGTTTCCTAAAAGTCATTTTCTTACCTTTCAGAGTTGTTTTATGTTGTCTTACAGTTCTATGAAAAATTCCAATAAGAAAACACACACTGATTTGAGAATATCATTACCTCTTCCTATGTTTTAATAATGTAAAGCCCTCCTCTCTTTAAAGAATTACATATTTATAGCTGAAGTTTTGTCAAGGATTCTGTTTCTACCTGACTTTATCACTAAAAATCTATATGTAAATTAGCACTTCTCTTAATATGCATAAATGATTTGAATTATTCTTCCCACAGAGGCAATGCCACTTGCTTTGCATATGGACAGACAGGTGCTGGAAAAACCTACACTATGATAGGAACCCATCAGAACCCAGGACTGTATGCTTTGGCTGCCAAAGATATCTTCAGACAACTGGAAGTGTCCCAGCCAAGAAGGCACCTCTTTGTGTGGATCAGCTTCTATGAAATCTACTGTGGTCAGCTTTATGACCTCCTAAATAGAAGGAAAAGGTAGTGGCATGTGAATGGGAACCTGTAGATCTGTTCATCATTGGTTAAGCCAGAGCCCCCACAAAAGCATTTTAATCACATGGGCTTTAATACTAACGCTCTTTTGTGAAACAAGAATCTCCCACATCAGATACATATTTTTAAACTTTAGAGAAAAATGTAAATTTGTCTTTGTTTTGTTTTGTTTTTTGGTACTGGGGATCAAATTCAGGACCTTACGCTTGTGAGGCAGGTGGCGCAACCACTGAGCTAAATCCCCGGCCCTGTTTTGTTGTTTTTTAAACAGAGTAGCTATATAGCCCAGGTTGGCTTCAAACTTGGCAGTCCTTCTGCTTTAGCCTCCCCAGTGCTGAGATTGTAGACATGTTCCACTGCAACCAGCTCCACTAATATTTTTTTATTCAATGTATTATTTTATTTTTATTAGTACTTACTTGCAGTGTATAATGATTACATTCATTGTGGGGAGTTGGTACATGTCCATAACACATCTTAATTCTTTTTACTCCTCCTGTCCCACCATCTTTGTCCCCTTCCCATTTGCAAAAACTCTATCTCTCTTTTTCCTATTATCTGTCTTTTATTATGCTCTGTAAATTATTTATACCTTGAGTTTCTAATAAGAGAAACCATGCAATATTTAAACTTGTATGCCTGATTTATTTCACTTATTATTGTCTCAAGGTGCATCCATTTTCCTTCAAATGACAAAAGTTTATCCTTATTTATGGCAGTATAGTTCTCCATTGTATATAAATAGCGCATTTTCTTTATCCATTCATCTGTTGAAAGACATACAAGCTGCTTCCAAGATTTAGCTATTATGAGTTGTGCTGCTATAAGCATGAGTATATATGTATCACTGTAATATGATGTCTTTAACTCTTTCAGGGAGATACCTAGGAGAGGAATAGCTGGGTTGCATGGAATTTCTATTTTTAGTTTTTTGAGGTATCTACACACTGGTTTCCATTGTGGTTGTACTAGTGTACATTTTCACTAACAGTGAAGAAGGAATCCTTTTCCCCCCACAGCTTTGCCAACATTTGTTATTATTTGATTTCTCAGTGATAGCCCTTCTTTCTGGAGTGAGATGGCATCTCAATGTTGTTTTAATTTGCTATTTCTCTAATGGCCAGAGATGTTGAACATGTTTTCATGTACATATTTATTGGCCATTTGTACTTCTTTTTCTGAGAAGTTTCTCTTTATTGCAGTTCCCCATTTCTTGATTGAGTCTTTTATTGGGGAGTCTAATGTTTTTTTATTTCTTTATATATTCTAGATATTAGTCCTCTGTCCAAGGAGTATCTAGCAAAAATTTTTCCCATTCTGTAGGTTGACTCTTCACTCTGTTGGTCATTTCCTTTGCTTTGCAGAAGCTTTTTATTTTATATAATACCATTTGTTAATTCTTTTCTCTTTTTTGATACAGAGTGTTGCTGTGTAGTTCAGGCCAGCTTGAATGCATTATGTGGTGATCCTCCTGCCTCAGCCTCCCAAGTGCTGGGGTTACAGGCATGCGTCACCACACCTGGCCCTATTTGTTGATTCTTTTTTTTTTTTTCTTTTTTTGCTGTCAATGGTTTATCTTCTTCCCCCCCCCATTAAGTTTATTGGTACATTTTAGGTATAAAATACAATTATATTCATCATTGGGATCTTGTACCATTACATGAGTCTCTTGGTTCTTATTTTTTTTTCCCCTGCCCTTGCCCTTCCTTCACCCCCTCCACCCTTCCCTATTTGCAAAGACCTTGTTTCCTTTTTTTTCCTCTTCTCATATTTTTTTCTTTCCCTTTTTTCCCTTCCCCTACCCCTCCCAATTCCCCTGTTCTTTTAAGATCTAGGAGACATTACCACAGATTTTACAGAATTTAAAAGGATA